CCTCTCAAATCAGTGAATGACAACGGGGGTACCGCCGAGTTCTTCGAAGTCAAAATCGGGATTGCCGTCGAGCTCCCACCATGGGCTGGCTGAAGCCCTAAATATCAGTCCAGCCTGGAGAGGCTGAGCTCAGAATATACTATCTCTTCAACAAGTCACGAATAAAGGAACACACTACCTTGAAGCAAGCAGAAGCAGTAGGATGCATTGACATCAAATCCATAAGCCTAGATGGTGCAAGTTTACCATCCTTATCACCCGACAGAGAATATAAACCAACACTCAGTTGCTCTTAGGGACAAGGATACAGGTAAACACCATCTACCCGAAGGAAATGGTGTGGGGGCATCTACACTGCTGAAGTAAAGGAGAAGATTCGGACATAGCAAGCAACATAGGGCATTCACATGGATCTTGAAGCCTAGATGTTTCGGTTCACCATCCTTGACACCTAATTGTCGCAACCCGAAAATTTCCGATCTTGCGACCTATGGTTTAGACATCCTTTTAAAGATCTCATCAATTAAGGAATGCCCGGACACCAGACTAATCCTTAATTAATGGTTTTGAAAATAGGTTCATGGAGTCGCCACCAATATTTTACTCAAAACATTGGAAAAAGAAAAGGTTTTTAAAAGTCCAATAATGGCCTTGATAACCAGAATTGGGTTCGGGGGTCGGTTACGTGTAGGTTAAGCACCCCTACAACGCCCTTAATCGGTACCCTATGACGAAGTTAACATTATAAATAATAATAATATAAATATTAAATCCCCTTTTATTGATGACTATTTACATGCTTGAAATTTAAATTAAACAATTGACTCTAAAATATCTACATGATTATTTTTATTATAATGATGTTTATCAGAAATAAGAAACAAAGATAAAAATAAAGGAGAGAGAAGAAGATTGACTGAAATACCTCGTATCAAGCTTTGTTAATGGTGATTCTAGGTGCTTTGTGGCGACCTTTTCACACTACAATACCTCACAAACTCTCAAGAAATACAAGAGAGAGAAAGAGAGAGAAAAAGAGAGAAGAAGAGAGAAATTTCGAGCTCTGGACGAAATTTTGGAGTCCCCTTTACTGTTGGCCGAGATTCTCTATTTATAGGCATCAGCTGTGGGCCGGAACGGCCCGTTCTGGATTCGGAACGGCCCGTTCCAGATCCGAACGTTGTGCAGTATACATGTACCCTGGAACGGCCCGTTCTGAAATCAGAACGGCCCATTCTGGGGAACCAGAACGGCCCGTTCTGATTTCAGAACGACCGTTTTGAGGTACACATTTTAGCCTCCTTGATTAGTTTGGAACGGCCCGTTCTGGTCTAGAACGGCCCGTTCCAACCTATATTTTTTTAGGCTTTTTAGAAGCCCAGAACGGCCCGTTCTGATTGAGAACGGCCCGTTCCGGACTTGGGAACGGCCCGTTCCGATTTTGGAACGGCCCGTTCTGGGCCACTAAAAAATTGGTTTGGGCCTTTGGGCCCTCTGATGTCCTATCTTGTTATTTGTATGCCCCCCAGACGAAATTGGGTGTCTACACTAATAGAGCATACAATCCAACACTCAGTTGCTCCAAGGGGCAAGGACATAGGGAACACCGTCTACCCGAAGGAAACAACGTGAAGGTATCTATTGTCAAAACAAGAGTGAAGATCCGAATTTTCACCTCACTATCACAAGAGAAACAATGGAGCTTTTACTCGAAGACTGATGATCAGGTGTACCGTTTGTTAGCCTTGTTACACAATAGAGTACGCAACCCAACACTCAGCTGCTCTAAAGGGTGAGGATACAAGCAAATACACCTATCCAAGGGAAGCAACGTAGAAGCACCAACACAGAGACGAGAAGAAGACCCGGAGGAAATGTCTACGTCTTTACTTGCCTTTGGAAAAGCAACACAGCTATTCTAAAGGACAAGTAAAGAGGGACAACTGTAGACACCCAATTTCGTCTAGGGCATACAATCAACAAGATAGGACATTAGAGGGCCCAAAAGCCCAAATTAACTATTTTTAGTGGCCCGGAACGGGCTGTTCCAAAATTAGAACGGGTCGTTCCAAGTCCGTTCTGAGACTCCTAAAAAGGCCTAAAATTGTAGGTTGGAACGGGCCGTTCCAGACCATAACGGGTCGTTCCAAACCAATCAAAGGGCCTAAAATTGGTATCCCAAAATGGGTCTTTCTCATTTCAGAACGGGTCGTTCTAGGTCCCAGAACGGGCCATTCTGATTTCAGAACGGGCCATTCTAGGGTGTAAAAATAATACATAACGTTCGGATCCGGAACGGGCCGTTCTGAATCAGAACGGGCCGTTCTGGCCCACATCTGATGCTTATAAATAGAAATCTCGGCCACAGTTCTGAGGCCCCCAAAAATTTTGTCTAGACTCCTTAGAGCTCGAAATTTCTCTCTTTTTCTCTCTCTCTCTTTTGTATTTCTTGAGATTTTGTGAGGCATTGTAGTGTGAAAGGTTGCCACAAAGCACCTAAAATTTTCTTGTTTTGAAGATTCAATAGAGCTCATTTAAAAGGTATTTCAGTTAATCTCTTTCTCTTTTTTTATTTCTTCTCTATAATAAATATTGTTAATAAAAATAATCATGTAGACATTTTAGGATAAATTTCAAGCATGTAAATAATTATTAATAAAAGGGGATTTAATATTTATATTATTATCATTTATAATGCTAACTTCATCATAGGGTACCAATGTAGGGGTGCTTAATACCTTCCCTACACGTAACCGACCCCCGAACCGAATTCTGGTTATCAAGGCCATTATTAGATTTTTAAAAACCTTTTCTTTTTCTAATTTTTTGAGTAAAACATTGGTGGCGACTCCATGAACTCATTTTTCAAAACCATTAATTAAGGATTAGTCTGGTGTCCGTGCATTCCTTAATTGATGAGACTTTTAAAAAGATATTTGAGCCATTAGTCGCGAGATCGAAAATTTTTGAGTTGCGACACTCCATTCACATAATAATCATTTAATCACCTTTAATGTATAAATACAAAAATGTAAACTAAACTCACTCCTTTTCAATTGTAATTAGTGCAATACGTGAAAGTTTAACATTTTAATTTTTATTTAAATAAGATTTATAAAGGTAAAAAATATTTCAATCCCGCTAATCATAATAAAAACTATAAATGATAAATAAAATTTTATTAAAAGTAAATAAAAATACTTAAATATCATTATATAAAAAAAAAACTGTAAATAAAAATAATTCTAAATACTAAAGTATTATATATAAATATATGTGTATTATACTTTAAAATAAAATAAAATAAAATAAAATAAAGGTTAAAATACTAATTTGGTCCCTTATAATATTTTTTTGTTTCAATTTAGTCTCACTTTAATTTTTGGTTTTAATTTGGTCCTTAATAATTTAATTTACTGCAATGTTGGACTTCCGACTAAATTATTTAAACGAAGTTAACTGTTGGCCACATGGTTACCACGTGGATGTCACGTAGATGCATAGGTGGATGCCAAATTTCTTTAATGCATCTGGAACCAGAACGGTCCGTTCTAAAACCAGAACGCTCCGTTCTAAAACCAGAACGGCCTGTTCTGCTTACACTCTTGGTGTGTTAATTTTGTGCCTGCAATGGGCCGTTCCAGATGCATTATTTAACACACAGAGAGTGCAAGCAGAACGGGCCGTTCTAGTTTTAGAACAGATCATTATGGATTTAGAACGGGCCATTCCAGAATGCCAACCACATACGTACGTTCAACAAAATGCAGCAATGTGGTTCAAAAATTGAAAACAAAAATTCATAACATAACATAAATTCAAAGACTGAAATATGGTTCAGAGACTTAGTGATACACTGTATTGTCTTTAGTGATACACTGTATAGCTCAAACGTTTAGCAATTGAAGTTATCAATCCCCATTGACAATATTACCAAATCCAGTGTTTGAAATGTTTTGTACCTTGAGTCTTTTTCCTTGCATGATTCACAACTGTGATTTAGAATCATGGATGTGAACTATAATCATCGATTGTTTGTGTTTGGCATTCTGGAACCAAAACGGGCCGTTATGGTTCCAGATGCATTAAAGAAATTTGGTATATACGTGACATCCACGTGACCAACAGTTAACTCCGTTTAAATAATTTGAACGGAAGTTCGACATTGTAGGAATTTAAATTATTAGGGATCAAATTGAAATCAAAAATTAAAATGAGACTAAATTGAAGAAAAAAAAATATTATAAGGGTCCAAATTATATTTTTAACCTAAAATAAAAGTTAAGAGGCCAAGTGCCCCATTACCACAAGGCCACAATGATTAAAGTAGGTTCGTCCTTGTTCCCGTGGGAATTTTTTTTCAAATTTTAATTAATAGTGCCGTTTTATTTCCGTTTGCCGTGGTTGTGCCGCTGCAGTGTAGTGCCTTTTCTCGACCAAGATTCAAAACTCCTACTTTTCAAAAAGAACCGGTTTTTCCTTTCTCAATTTACTATTTTTTTCTCTTATATCTTTTAATAAGAAATGTTGTAAAACGTTTCTTGAAGAACTGTTAAAATTTAGATTAAGAATCAGCAAACGTTCATTCAATTCTAAAAGGGCTGAAAATTCATGTTTCTATTGTTGAATATTTGGCAACAATGTCTCTTTAAAGCTACAATCACTCTAGATTATGCGTTGAAGTACCAACAAAACAAAACAATGAATACATGTATTGTGTAACTATAACATTTTTTATGATTCGAATTATAATAACAACTAAAAAATTCAAATTTTATATTCATTTGTATATTATTTTAACTCTCCATCACTATATCCATCTAACGGTTCACTATACATCATTTATAACATCTATTTTATTCTTTTTGAACAGAACCACTTCCCATTCATGAATTTTTTTTGGTCTTCTACAAACAAGCACCAGAATTGTCAACACACAATAAACTGTCCCTATGTTTCTCCCATATTCTTTAAAAAATTAACACGGAGATGAGATTTGAGCTTTTATGAACTTCACCAAAAAAAAAAACAGACAATTTAAATGTAATTTCATTTCATAAGTATTTGAAATCACCTATAAAACCTTGAAATTGTATTTAAATTTTGTCCTAAAGTAAACATTGGTTTCATGTTTGAAGCACCTTATTTCAGCAGAGCATGTCATGGTGCCTCTTCAAAGAATCTTGTTTCTGCAACAAGATTTGCCTGCGGAATTTCTTGATGAAAAGGTCAGCCATGTGATCAATTTCATCCTCCATTTTGAACTCTTCCCCTGCTTCTTCCTTTGAACTCTTCACTAAATCAATCACCGAGCCTCCAAGATCCAAATCCTCCGACTCAAACATTGTGTGTGTAAGATCAGGGTACTTACCATCACCATCATCATCTCCATACCAACATTCACATCCATCATCATCATCATAATCTTTGTCCTCCGGCACCACATGGCTCTCACGAGGATTAACGGTGAAAAGTTGTTCTCCACTTGAACACTCTATTTTAATTATATCACTAGTGGATGTGGAATCACCAACACCAACATGTGTCTCATGCAAGTGTGCATTGTCATCGGCCACCATGCACTTGCCATCATCTTCCAATAAGCAATCTTCTTTGAGATGTGAATGGTGCCCCAGAAGAGATTGGAACTTGTCAGAAATGGTGCTCATCACATACTTCTTGTTCATCACAAGTGAGAATATAACCAACCGAGCCTTCATGGCGTTCGTTTTGGACTTCAAAGCCAAAGCCTTTGACTTGGCCATTGACCTCAGAGCAGCTATCAACTTCAAAATTCCAGATGCTCTATTCTTCATGTTCTCCCTAGCTAGTGAAGTAACAAAAAATTAATCGTGTCAATAAACAAAGCAAAAATATGGACTTTCAATTTGAACCTTGATTCAAAAATGGGGCAGCAAAAAAAAAACTATGTAGCAATGTTTGTGTTTGTGTGAGCGAGTGAAGAGGATAATTGCTAATATATAATTGAACCGATTATGTTGGAAAATAAGTGTTTTGGGCACGAAAGAGTACAAGGAAGGTACATGTGTTTATATAATGGGCAGTGACAACTGGTTTTGTCCGAGAGAGTGAAACAAGGTAAAGGAAGAGTGGTTGTTAAGAAATGAAAAGATAAGGGTGAAAGGGGAAATTTCTCGTGGATGAGAAAGTTGTTGGAAGAATAATAGAATATAACGTTGTGGGCTACGTGGTCTTGTGTGATAGGTCATTTGTGAGTAATGGAGGGTTCAGTGTTTATGAAGATACAAATTTTTTTGGGAAAACAACAACTTTAGTGAGTAAAAGAGCCGGGCATATATAATTAGTGGGGTTTGTTGGAGAGTGGGAATTCTCTTTTTGGTGTTTTAAAAGTGAGTTCTTTTTTTAATTTTTTATTTTGTGAAGTATATTTGTTCTTATCTGAGATCGGTCGAGAGAGGCGATTTGCTGGGTAAGATTGGTGAGCCTTCGATACGTCGACTGCTCCGAGGTGGGGGCGGTACCTGCGAAAGAGACTCCGATACTAAAGTTAGTCTTTGATAGTGTAGGTGTCTCATATATATAGTGCACGTACCTTGATGTAAATTAGGGTTTCCCTCTTGGGCGAGGATAAGGTTGATCTGGGCCTAAGATTGACCGCGGCCCATTAGACAGTAGGCCTCTGCTTTGGCCGACGTCCTGTAGCACCTATCCGATGTCGTGCAGTGCTTGGATGCAGAACTTGAGCTCGGTGTTCGACGTGAATAGTACACTAGCCCCCCGAGCTCTGAGGACCTCGGGTCGAAGAGTTAATGCCGAGTGAGTGAAGGGTCGTGACCTTTCATTTCTGCCTCTTGGGTGAAGTGCCACGTGTCATGGAGGCATCGCCTCGTTTCACGAAACACGAGGGCGGCTTGTAATGAAGAGTGGTGGCTTGTAATAATGGGACGCGCCCTGTCATTATGAGCCCTATTAAATGTGTTGTTTCCTTTGTTGTTTTTCTCATTTTTTAAAACACTAGTTCCTACCTCATTCGTGTACTCACTTTCCCATTCGCATTTGTTGTTTTCTTTGTGCGTTTTCTTCTCTGTTCTTCTCCTTCGTCGTTGTTTTCTTCAAAACCTTCATCGTCGGTGTCTTGTCATTTGGTCAAGGAGTATCAAGTACTTCTTCTTCCTCATTTTCCTTTTCCCTTTCCGTTAGTGGTATTGTGAGTGATGGCCGGTGAGGGTGGTCAGGGCTTGATTCCTCCTAAGGTAGCCTCTGGGCAGGCCAAGGGGAAAGGCAAGGCAAAAGTGGCCGCCACTGACGGCGAGCCTAAGAAAAAGAGGGGGGGTATTAACCCCAAGGACTCACACCCCACCATCTCTGTCCCTGGGTATGAGTAGGTTAGGGGAGATGTGGGTATCTTCGAGAATAGGGTCAGGTCTTACCACGATGTGAACTCTGCGTGCAGTTCATTCGTGATTAGTAGGTCGCCCGTTTTCGAGCTCATCAGGGTTGAGCCTTGCCAACCTGGAGAGCGTGTGAATATGGCGGGTACTATGAACACCCCATTCTTTTACATGTACCGCTGTTTATTTAGGGACCTTGGTGTTTGCTTGCCATTCACCGAGTTCGAGTGTGGGTTTTTAAGGTTTTAAATGTGGCCCCTTGTCAATTACATCCCAACAGTTGGGGGTTTTTGCGGGCCTTTCAGGTTCTATGCTCGGCTCTGGGGATGAATGCCTCTTTACCTGTCTTCCTTCATTTCTACCAGCTTAAGCTAGGCGAGCCTCCTCCGGGTTGGGTGTCTTTGAGTGGGAGTATGGTCGGTGGGTTGTTTCAACTCTACTCTTAATCGTATAAGAACTTTAAAGAGGAGTTCTTCCGAATCCGACCTATAAACAATAATCCGATGACCGAGGAGGTCTTCCATTTTGGGGGGGAGCCGAGGTTCCCCTTCTTCTAGCAAGAGAGCCCGGTGAAGTTTAACGGGTCTAGTTGTGTGCGCTTTTCGAAATCGGATAGGGACAACATTGCCAACCTAGAGGAGTTGTCGCGCCCTTTGGACAACAAACTCGTGTTGTCTATGGCCTGTTTGAAGAATAAAGAAAAGGGGTTGGAGCGTGAGTATTTAGATGTTTTAGTGGCTAGTTGGTTTTCTGATTTGCGTTGTTGTCCTAATCCCATTCTTGTTTGTAGAGGCGATGGGCAAGAGTAAATGGCGCGAGCTGAAGGCGAGGTTTAACACCGAGGAACCAGATGTGCCTGAGCCTGGCGAGGTGGAGGTCGCCCCCTTGAAAACCAACCGAAAAAGAAAAAGGGATTCCAAGGTGGTTGGTGAGGGCTCTGGCGCCCCTAATTTTGAAGAGGTGTCTTCGAGGGTCACTGACCCTGTTTCTCTGATTGACCTTACTATAAGTCCTAGGGTCGAGGTACTTGTGGAGGAGCCCGTGCTAGAGGCCACCCCGATCCGACAGGTACTTGTTTTGTCTCTTTGTTTGTTTATACGTATATTGTGTAACTTAGGAAAAAATATTGTATGTTATGGTTGTAGGTGGTTCCGATGTCAACCTCAGCCGGGGTTGGTGAGGAAAATTCTAAGTCGTCTGCCATTCTGACGTCGGCCCCTCTAACCACGACCTCGGAAAATCCTGTCACGTCCTTGGCTTCGAAGTCTAGGTGCATTGTCCAGTGCTTCGACGTCAGTCGGCCCTTGGCGAGGTTGGACCACGTCAACATGTCACCTGATGTGACATCATTGTGGAAAGCCAATCTTACCGTTAAGGGGTTCTATAAGGAGGATCTGGTGTTTGTGGCCGATAAGGCCATTATAGAGAAGGTGGGGCCAGTGGAGGGACTAGACTCGGCTGAGGTCTTCATGTAGAGGTCGATCGCCATCGTGGATCACTAGAGGCGACGTTGGCAGAAGCATGAGGCCGAGCTAGAGAAAGCGCGGAAAGACGCAGCTGAGCTTCCAGCTTTGAGGAGGGATCTCTCCAAGACCCAGAAGTCGTTGGAGGTAGCTATGAAGGCCAACGAGGCCTATGCCGTCTAGGTTGGCGAGTTGGTGGGCGCCGCCAAGTCGGCCAAGGGCAAGGCTGAGGTTGCCCTGGGTCGAGTGCGATTGCTGGAGAAGGAGAATGCTGCCTTGAAGGCCAGATTGCGAGCGATTGAGGAGAAGCATCTCTACGATGAGGTCCTTCTTGTTGGCAAGGGCAAGGAGGTTAGTGCCTTGAAGTTGGACCTTGAGGTGCTAACTTCCTCAAAGAAAGAAGTGGAGGAGACGCTTCGTGAGACCGAGCGCGCCGTGGTAGTCGAGCATAAAAGGGTTTTTGCCAAGATGGCTCGCTAGGCCCGAGTAATTGCTCCCGAGGTGGACTTCTCGCTGATGCACATTGATAAAGATGTGCGAGATGGGAATGGACATCCTTGGACCATTCCCCCCCGCGAAAGGCCAACTAAAATTCCTCTTCGTCGCTATCGACTACTTCATCAAGTGGATCGAGGCCTGCCCACTTGCCAAAATCACTGTCGAGAACGTACAAAAGTTTACCTGGAAGAACATCATTTGCAGGTTCGGTATCCCGCACTCCCTCATCACCGACAATGGTAGGCAATTCATCACACAGAGCTTTGAGAGCTTTCTCCGAGAGCTCGGCATCAAGCACCTCCCCACCTCGGTGGAGCATCCCCAAACCAATGGCCAAGCCGAAGCTGCGAACAAGGTGATACTTCGAGAACTCAAAAAGCGACTAGGGAGCGCCAAGGGACAATGGGTTGACGAGCTCCCCAGCATTCTCTGGGCGTATCATTGCACCCCTCAATCAACAACTCAAGAAACGCCTTACAGACTGACCTACAGAGCCGACACCATGATCCTGGTCGAGGTCAGCGAGACATCTCATCGGCGTCAAAGCTTCGACAATGAGCAGAGCACTCAGGAAATGGCAGTCAACCTCGATCTGATAGACGAACTCCGAGAAGAAGCTCGGATCAAAGAAGAAGCCTGCAAACTTCGCGCCTCTAGACGCTACAATACTAAGGTTCGACCTCGCTCTTTCTGAGTCGGAGACCTGGTATGGAGACTACAAGGAGAAGCAAGAAGAGACCCATCAAAAGGAAAACTCGCGCCTATCTGGGACGACCCATTCTACATTGCTGACAGCTTGGATAATGGGGCATACCGAATAGAAGAACTCAATGGCAAAGCCATTCCAAGAACTTGGAATGCCACTCACCTCAAATTTTACTTCAGTTGAATTGTACAAATGGGGTGTTGCACTATTTTCCCTACCCATTCTTTTGTCCCAAAAAACATAAATATGGGTTTTGGCTGAGAGGGTTTTTAACGAGGCATACCCACAACATCAATAAAAGCAACTCACTTTACTCATACTGTCTCAATTTCACACTGGTTGGCACGATTTATATTAAGACAAGGTTGAATTCGAACCTTGGCACGATTTATATTAAGCCAAGGTCAAAGTCAAACCTTGGCATGATTTATATTAAGCCAAGGTCAAATTCGAACCTTGGCGCGATTCGTATTAGGTCCAGAGTCAAGTTTGAACCTTTACAGGCCAAGTTTGAGCCTTAAAATGAAAAATAAAGGTCAAGTTTGAACCTTTACAGGCCAAGTTTGAGCCTTAAAATGAAAAATACAGGCCAAGTTTGAGCCTTAAAGTGAAAACTAAAGGTCAAGTTTGAACCTCAAGGGCCAAGCATGAGTCTTAAAACACAAAATAGAGGCCAAGTTTGAACCTTAAAGACCAAATTCGGGCCTAAAAAACAGGTCAAAATTAAAGCCTAAAGTCGAGTTCAATTCTTAGAGTAAAATCAAAGGTCAATTTTCAACCTTGAATGACGATCGATGCGACTCAAAGACCGCAAAATCAAGATCAAAATAATTAGCGCCAACTTGATGCAAAAAAAGGAAAAATCCATTCAATATACAAAGAGAGTTGATACATAAAAACTGCAAAGTAAATTAAGCACAGGGAAACAAAAGGAAAAACGCCTAAGAGGCAACGTCATCACTGGTGCTCTCGGAGAAGTCATCTTCATTCACCAGCTGCCCACCCCGCACATCCTTTTCTATGTGCATAGCAGAGAGGTCGACC